AGAAGGGGGGATACACAAACAAGGTCAAAAAAATACGGCGGCAGCAGGGTAGAACACAAGTGCTATGATGGGAGGTGAGGGGTAATGACACCAGAACTGTGATGGGAGGCAAGAGGATCCCCAGATCTTCAACAGCAGGGAAGACTTCTTGGAGACTGTGGAGTTTTACATTTGGAAGGTGACTGATGCTCTGAGGAAGGGAGATTCACCTTGTTTGATTCATCTTGCAAATTGACATTGGATTGGAATGCAATTATAGTGCTTGTGTATTCTCAGAGTCTCTCCGGTGTACAGTAAGCATCCATAAACATTGAAGGAATGAGATTCCTTGTTGACATGTAAGTTGCATCCTCCCTTGGAAATTTCAAGTTAAGACAGGCCGACAAAGAGAAGGCCCGAAGGTCACTCATTCTCAGAGTGTAATGTAAACAGTCCTGTGGGCAGGGGTCCACCCATACAGATAGTATCTAGACTGAGGCATTGCTAATCCCTGTGAAAGTACAGACAGGACACTGAAAATTGAAGAGTTAATAAAAACACGTCTTGGACAAAGTTCATTTCTGGCACCAGGGACCCTGATCTCCTGAACTCTACCCCAAACTGCAGTGTTTCTCTCTCTACTTCCCTGCTGGAGTCTTCCTGCCTCCTGGGACCTCAAACAGGCTCCCTCCAGGATTAGGTTTTAAAGGAAAATGCAAATCACCTGGAGACTGCTTCACGCTTGGAAGAAGTAAAAAACAAAATCGATTCTGCTTTTGTTAAAATGATTTTTGGACACTGTCAAAAATGCTCTCATCCCAGAGCGCAGGGTGACAGACAGGCTGCTGATGACAATTATGTAACTGAGTCAACAGTGGCAGTGAGCCACCATGGAATGAGCAGAGGTTGCTCCATACCTTCCCCAACTTTTCCCAAGCCCAACTCCCCTCTGTAAGATGTCCAAGAACAGTCCACTCCAGATGTCCTGAAGACAGCCTCCTCCCCCATGATGGCCATTGTGGACACACACCCAAAGGCTCTCAACTTCTCTTATCCCCATGTCTTCATCTGAGCAGCTCCACGGACTTGCTCAGGTAGTCCATGTCATCCATAATGCTCAGCAAAGCCAAGCAAAATTAAGAAGGGAAATTTGCTTTGACAAAACTCACCTCATATAATACATTCCCAAACTAGTTATGTTGGTCTTATTTAATATTGGGAGTTCCACGTTATCCCTTTCCTCTGTTAACTGAGATAATTGGAGATTTGTTTTATTTATAGCATCAATTATGAACACGGAAATTAATCCTTGAATGCTGCATTTGGGAGCTCAACTGTCAAGGGAGCACAGGGAAGCCTGGGCACAGCTTAGGGGTCTTTCCTGCCGGCATAGGAGCCTGCCAAGGACAGACATCTTCAAGCCTGGGTGATAATTTGGGTTGTCATTTGTTCTTGTGTGCATAAAGTATTTTGAAATATTAAATAAATGGTGATAATTGGCTTCAGGAGATCCTTCCCTGGAGGACATCTACTAATACATGAGTGAGGTAGAGGGAAAATAGGCAGAGATGGCAACCAGAGCCTGGCAGAGCAAACACCTTTGCTTGTATTGGCTCCCAGCACGTTGGCTGGCACTGCTCTGAGAAGGAGCTGAAGAGAGTATCATTGATGAGAGATGGGAGCTCAGGGAGGAGTAGGGCAGGGAGAAGCCACAGACATGATAGGTATGTGTTGAGAGCTACTGGAAGCAACTGAACTACTGAAGCAATCAATGGTCCTTCATGCTTTCTGGTCACATGGGGCTCAAATTCAACATAGACTTAAAAAAAAAAAAAAGATGAACTTCCTTCAATGTTGGACAGGACTAAAACTAGCCAGTGAATGTGGTTTGGAGAGAAAGCATCCAGGAGAGAGGGAAAGCCTTCCAGGGTTGAGCCGGAAAGTCCCTAGTAAGGGCAAGAAGATCCATGTGGTCCTGTAGAGCATCTCAGTGGACAGATCAGTTACCCAGTCAAGTCTGCTCCCCTCTCTCCTGGAGCAGCAGAGCTGAGACAGAATATCCAGGGCTAGAGCTGCTGCAGGGATGCTGGCTCAAACCTTCAATTTGCCCTCAAAAAAGGGCAGATACATCTAGAAAAGCCTGAGAACAATATCTGGCCAAGCAAATGAAGAAGGTGCCCCATTTACACTGACCCCTCCATTAAAAAGCATTTTGCCATGCACCTGCTATGTATAGCTAAACAAACGAGCCTGGTAATGGTGCCAACTGCCAGCTCAGGTCAAAGTCAAAGTAGCTTGATCTAGCACCAAGATACAGTCTGTCACAGTGGAAGGAAGAAAAAAGAGACTGCTGTCTCATAACTTGTCTGCATAGAAGGAATAGAGGACTAAAGGTTTCTTTTCGAGCCCATTTGATTCTAGTCTCAGAAGCCTAGACATTTCAATGTACTGGGAATGGAGAAACAAGCCTGTTCATCATTGGGGGTGGAGTGAGGGGGTCCAGGGCCCACAGGGGAGCCTTGCCTGTCCTCAGTGTAGGGAGATTCTTTTCCTTCTTACATCCCTTCTCCTGCAGCCTGTCTGCACCCTGCACTACTTCCAAGAAAATAAATGTGAGACTAACATTGTCTGCCCCACCCCCTGATGCTAAACACTAAAAGAAATCAACCATTACCCCACAGTAAAAATGGTAGTAAAATCCCATGGTTAGTTCTGAAAACAGCCATTTATCTCTAATGCAGTTTTCTGGTCCATCTAGAAGTACATGTATGATTTGTAAAGCCTTTGTGTCCCCAGGACAGTGCCTGGCACATGATATTCACCAAACTGATGCTTTCTTGACTAGTAATGTGACTAGAAGAGAATATCACATCCAGAGGCTATCTAAAAGTAATAAGCCTGAAGGTTTGGTTTTTACTATGGGCCATGATGGAAGGAAACAGTGGGGCCTGGTGAAAGGAGAAAGAACATTGAAGGTATCTGGCATCTGGAAATCAGCTTTGTGACTATGGGATATTTACCGAACCCCTCTGAGCCTCACCCTCTGTATTTTTAAAGAGCACAGAACTTTTCCTACCTTGCAATGCTGCTGAGAGGACTTAAGATAATATATGCAAAGTGCTAAGCACACTGCTGACACACAGTAGACACCCAGATGCTATTATACTAATAATAAAAAGTAATGGGCAGGTGGCCAGTGACATTCCTATTGATCTCCAAAATGATCCCATTTTAACTCTGACACCCATAAATCTGCCTGGTATTTATTCCAATACAAATTCCTCCCGTTCTGTCATGAATCCCACCAGGAGGCAACTAAGGACACTGAGAAGTCGGGATCACATCAGGATCATGCTTGAGGGTTGGGATGAGGTACCTGGATTTCTTTAGGAAGGTGAAAGGTGGCCAGGGTCAGCGTAGAAGAGACAAATATGAAGCCAAATCCCCAGATCACTTTATCTCAAATATCCCATGGTGTCAAAAGCTTACATTGCCCATTTGATCCAAGAAAGATACAGTCCCAGAGTTAAACATTCCCTCTGGTGAGCAGTTGAGCAGTTAGCTATTTGGTGCACACATTTGTGCTTGTGTGTGTGTGTGTGTGTGTGTATGTGTGCTTGTGTATGTGTGCTTGTGTGTGTGTGCTTGTGTGTGTGTGTGTGTGTGTGTGTGTGTGTGTGTGTGTGTGATGTTGGGAAGAATGGCTGTATAGCTTTCTTTAGACAGAGGAAAAGAGAATGCCTGGATCAAACATGGCCTTCACAAATGGATGGTGACATCTCTTGTTCCTCTCTGCTCCTCTCTTGTGACAGAATGACAAATGTAATCACTTTAAAAGGTCCAGTCACCTGCTCAGTTGTTCCCAATAAACACATGCAGCACTATGGAATAACCTATACCACCACAATAAGGTTTCATCCAGGAAAAAAAATTGAATCACCAGGATGCCACCAACTGAATTGTCAAAGACCAAATAAAAAGCTTCATGAATTCTCCATCAGCAATATAATGCTTCCTTGTCTAAGCAAATCTAGACCCAGCATATGAATTGTGAAGGGATTTTTCATTAATCTCTTGGCTTCTGAAGGCTGAGATAGAACCCCTCTGAAATCTATGTCTCCATAAAGTTGCCTTTATTTGTTCTAATCCCATTAGGGTGAGATTTCATCTCTTCCCTGGGACCCCTTCCTCTGATGGAACACGTCACATCCCAGCAACAAACAGGTATTTGTGTAACTTCAGTGCAGTGGAGAACTCAAAGACCTGGAAGAGAAGGTCACCTGAGATGAGATCTCACTAAGCACTGGTCTCTCCCTCTGATGATACTGCTGCTTGTCTGACCACATGACCCATTGAGACTATTTCACAGGCACACAGGTAGACTGGGTCACTCTATCTCTGACTCCAGCTGATAAAACAAGCTTATTCCTCCGTTAGTGAGAAAAAAGAAACTGGTGCCTTGCTTCGCAGGAAACCCAAAATCAGGGTCAGTGAGTGAAATTCTAATCAGAGATACTGAACCCTCGAGTGTCTGTGGCAGCAGAAAAGAAAAAAGTGAGGCAAAAGAGAAAGCAGCTTGCGAATACACTACAAAGGGGAAATGCAGGAAGACCAGTGAAGGAAATCTGCATGTACAGACTGTACACCATTCACCCAACTTCTCCCAACCTCCTGCCCCACCACCCACCAGCTCTGTCTTCCTCCCCTTCATAGTCCTGAGAGGCACTCCACCGTGCCATCACACACACCACACTGCTTGTCTGGAGAAAAGACAGTGACTTAATTTCCCATGTTTTACAAAACACATGCCTCACCCAGCCCCAATAGAATCAATTCAGAGCAAGTCACCACCCACAAACAAATCACTAATTCTTTACTGACTATTCCACTTTCCTGGCTCTCATGACTTCAGAGAAGGGCTTTATCTCCAAACCTCCTCTCCTCAATCCTGATACGCCACCTAAAGCTTCATGACCAACCAACCCAACTTTACCCTATCTAGGCCAGTGGCACTGACTTACCCCAGTGTAGTCATGGTGACGATGGTGTACCAGAAAGATGCAGGGATGCTTGTGAACTTGCTGGCAGATGAGCCCTTCTCGGCATAAAACATCACAGTGGCAAAGATGATTATGGCCATGGTGAGGGAGAAGAGGAGAAAGCCCAGTTCCGAGGCACAGCTCTTCAGGGTGTACCCCAGGATCCGTAGACCCTGGGAGTGTCGGGAGAACTTGAAGATCCTGAAGACACGGAAGACCCGGAGCGTGACAAAGGCCCCGGACACATCCTCATTGTTGGTCATGACGAGGCCGATGTAATAGGGCATGATGGCCACCACATCGATGATGCTCATCACACTGCGAATGAAGCGGTATCGGCTGGGTGCTGCGAAGAGACGGAGGAGGTACTCCACCGTGAATATCATGACGCAGGCAGTGTCCAGGCAGAAGAAAGCCACTGAGTAGCGCTCTCCACATGGCAGCTCCTTGCTCCCGGGCACTGTGCCACATGGCACCGTCTCCACCACATTGGTGATGACCGAGACGGCAATGAAGAAACCAGTCACGTAGTAGAAGACCAGAGCCAGGGTGCTGGTGTGTGGGTTCTCGAAGGCCCGCCACATGGTTTGGCGGAAGCTAAGTGAGGGCATGGACTCCTGGTTGTTCTCAGAGTCATTATCATCCATGAGCCGCTCCGCGTTCTCCCGCTTGCGGTCTTTGTACTCCTCGTAGCAGCAGTCTCCAATGATCTCTGGGAGGATGCCATAGAAGGCCAGCTCATCATCGTAGGCAGAGATGCACTCATAGCGTGGGTAGTGTAGCTTCCCAGTGCGGTAGAAGTTGAGCACGCAGCGGAAAACTTCTGGGTCGCGGTCAAAGAAGTACTCCTTGGTGTCCTCATTGAAGAAGAACTCCTTCTCTGTGCTACCCAGCAGAGTATCGGGGTAGCGTTCCAGAGTGGTCCTCCAGGTCTGGAACCGTCGTCCACTCACGTTGAGGACAATAAGCTCATCTTGCCGCTTGTTCTTGTCAGCTGGAGCTAGGGGCATGGGGCAGTTGGCCACTGGCATCCATCCAATGGCTGCAGCCCGGGCAAAAGGCAGCCAGGCTGCCACTCCCGCCGCCATGGTGACTCCAGCTTTTGGGCTGGTAGCTGCTCAGACACTGTGCACACCAGTTTGGAGTTAGTTCAGTGACCCCTGGGGGACAGGAGAGATCAGAGACACGGCTGAGTCTACTTTGAATTTTGGAGGATAGGGACAAGGGGGAGGGTCATTGTGTGAAACAGCAAGTCTCCAAGGCAAATTAAACTGAAAGCACCCAAAGAGGCAACTATAATAGTGATGCAAGGACAGTACCTCTCAAGGGGCTGTGCAAAGGGCCAGTTCATCAGATGTTGCTGACTGGCTGACAAAGTGTCAAGGTCGGGGGGGGGGGGGGGAGTCCAGAAGTACTTGAGAAGGAAAGCCTCTAACAAGAAGATCTGGGAAGATGGGTAATAATTAGCTCTGAAAGGTTATGGGTGTTATTGCGAATTTAAATTGGGAGAGGGTAAATGAGTTCTCATTAAATGAATTTAAAAGTGGGATAAACATGCTAATTTTTATTTCAATCTTCATCCACCACGGTAATCAGGAATTGGGGTGCCAATGAAGGAGATCAAGTAAACACATCTTTTATATTTCTCCCTGGTGAGAAGGAGACTGGGACTGGGTTTAGAAAATTCTATCAAGGTGGGAGATCCCAGCAAGCCCAGAGTCTCGTGAAGTTCTACCCCTAGCTCCCATAGAGAAAGCTTTCTCTGGCAAATTGCAACTTACACTTGAGGATGCTTGGCCTGGAACCTTGCCCTAGGAACCTAATGTTCAATTGCAGCTTTCAGACACATGATGAACAGACAAGGGGAAGCTTGAGGTTGTACAGGGTCTCTCTCCCATCCAATGAAGAAATGCTTGGGTTCTTGGTCCACCTGACTTCCACATACTGTCCCTCTCCCACCCCAGAGCAAGCTGAGCCATGCTCACTGCCTTCCGTAACTCCTTCGCCTCCTGTCTCCATCTGCCTAGAACCCAGAGTTCCCCATTATATAACAATACACCATCCCATGCCAGGCTCTCTCACCTGTCCTCTGCTGCACCCTTCGGAACTTCTTCAGGGCTGGTCACCCTTGTCCCTTCACTCACAGCTTTCTGCACCACATTTCCCCATCACCTGCCTAGATGGAGGGAACAATGGCACAGAGAACTATATTTGGCTTTGAGAAGCAGATTTACCTTCCCAGATCTGGCTTTTTAAAGATGATAGTGAAATGACTCTGCAATCCCCAAATGTATACCATCTGTGGGAAGACATGTGGTGGCACAGAAACACACGTAACAGTGACGGGGAATTGTTTGGGGTTGGCACACTCAACTCCACTAATCCTAAACTGATCACACAGTGCAGAGCCAAATCTTAACTCAGTTATTTGGATTCTCTAGGACTCACTTGGTTTATTTCTGTATTGAAATAAATGAGGCAGAGGTGACTTTGGGAGTTTGATGAGCTGTTTGTTGGTCTGGTTTTGCTGCTGGGTGACTTACTACAGAGACCCGGGATGAACGTTGGCCTTCATCTCTCCAGGAATGCCCCTTCACCTGCTTCCTGACTCCCAGATATTTTTCTTTCCCTCCTGAGCTGCTACTACTGGACTTTTCTCCCTGGATGCCTCTGAAACAGAGAGACTCACACTATCTCCATTCAGAATGCTGCTCTTCACTTTCTGCCCATAGCATCCCTCATCCTGGGTCACTTACTCTGACCATGCTTTTTATACACTATTCCAAGGATTCCCAAATAATAAAACACCATGAAAGACTGGCTCCCTTGGCCCCTCCCATCCCCACTGGTATTCTTGTCTCACTCTTCTCCCCCTACTTCTAGATTCTTTCCATTATTTCCAAATTCAGTCTACTCAGAGTAATCTCCTTAGAGCAAGGTTCTAATTGTGCTTTACTCTGTAGCCTATGAAATAAAACCCTACCTCCTTGGCCTGGCATTCATCAAGGGACTCATCTTAACATATCAGCCAGGCAGTCTACACTCCTAGCATCCAACAACAAGAGCAGAGGCTGGCTCACAAACAAACCCTGGCTATCAGTCTCTGGAGTATATCCCCCATCCCTCCTCTTGCCCTGCTTACCAAAATCTTACCCATTCTTCTCCTTAGTGACCCTTTCTCTTCTCCCAAGGCTCTCCTTCCTTTAGGCTCTCTGCACTCTGCCTCTCTGCTCTAGCACCCACCATGCCAAGCTTAGATTACAGGTGCTTTACATCCCCTTCATTGACAGTGATGATATTAACAGTAATGAATGGACACGTACTCTATGCAAGGTATTTCAATGTCTCTGTGGCTATCTCATTCAATCCTCAAAGCAATCCCAGGCAGAAGAATCTATTGGGTCCATCATCTAAGGCCGACAGATACCTAGCAATCTCATAACCCTGAAGCACAGGTCAGGGATTTGACCTTGAATGGATTACTGAGCACTGACCATACCAGGTTCAGTACCTAATGCATCCATGAACTGTTTTTATCAAGCCACCGAAACAGTCCTTGCTCTGGGAGTAGAAACCACTGTGTCTTTCTAAATGATTGATTAGTCAGAACTCATTGGGAGTCACTCTAGGCAGCACACTCCCTGGGCCCCACAAAGATCTTTTAGGGCAAAGGCCATGTGACCTTAGCTTTCCATCAAGCCTGGCAAGTAGTGATAGTGCAAGCAGTGTTAGAGCAGGTTCTGGAGCCAAGACCATGATTTTACATGTGTTGCTTGCATTCTATCAGTTTAACTCTATGCCTTGCCACTGACCCCTGGGATTGTCAAGGGGGGGGGTCTTTCTCTAAACAATAGACTCTGAAGACAGAGTTGAATCAAAATCCTTAGAACTGAGTAGCTGTAGGTACAGTTATGTGTCCTTGAGAAGTTGATCTCTGCCTCAGTTCCCCCACCTACAAGTAAAGGGGGATTTTCATAAGTTCCTCTATTCCTTAAGGGTTGTTTAGATACTGCAGAAGAAAATGCGAATGACAATGATGTTTCCTAAAGGTGTCACTGCTTAAAGTCAGAAAAACAGGCATGGGCCTGATGAGCTCTTGATGACAGGAACTGAGAGAACAGAGGAGAGTGGAGGTCATTCGTCCATGACAGCAGGTAATCCATTCAGAAACACATTCAGCATCGTGTAGTTTAAGACATTCGCACTTACAAAGAACTATGTTTTCTCTGGGCCAGGATATGTCCCTGTCTTCTGCATATACTTAGCTAGGTTTTCAAGGGTCAAGGGCCTGAGAAAAGAACATGAGCTGAACACAAGTTATAGATAACTCCGATTCTGACTCAAACCATGTTTCCTGAGCATCGACAAAGCTCTGGGCAATATCCAAGGCACTTTTACATATCATATAACATTTAATTTATTTCCACAAAAATCCTATGATTTTTTTGCCTATTGGTGACAGGAAAAAAAAATGTCTAAACCTCAGAAGTTTCCTTCCAAGTCGTTAAGTCAATGTATATAGGGATGGACAGTTTCCAAACCAGACCATTGTCTGGCTCACTGTCAAATGGCTTCCCTGAATGAGGCACAGCCCTGTCCTGGTGCTCCCTTAAAAGAAGCAGGCAGTGGAAAGAACAGGCCCTGGGGACCTTTCAGTCTGTTTCAGTATTACCCCTAACTTGTGAAAGCAAGCCACTGTTAACTTTCTGGATCGCAGAATCCTCATCTGTGAAATGAAAGCTGAAAAAGAAGAGGATGGAGGGCCTTTTGATTCAAATGATTCTCCTGGATCCAGGACACAGACGCTATATCTCCTCTCTCTCTGAGACTGCCTTACGATGGCTGCCCATGCAGAGCGGGAAGTAGAGCATCTGGGTTGGTTGCTGTGGGGATGCAATTAGCCTGAGCCTCATCTCAGCAGAGAGAGTTCTGGGAATTCCTGATGAGGCTGGTGCCCAGAACAGGACACACAACCTGCATCACTTGGAACCCAAGGCAATCCAATGCCTAGTCTACTCACAGACACAACCCTCCACACCCTCCTAGGAAGCAAAGAGGGCTAAGCCTCAGCCCTTTGGTGGCCCCTAACACCCTCCTTTATCAAAGAGATGGGCAGGGGCAGGGGTTCAAATGGCGAAGATTAAGAGATTGCTGAATCAGGAAGTACATTGGAGAACCTTGTTATCCAGATACATGGCTCCGAAAGGACAAGTCTCCCAATACTCTCCTGGGATTCTGGAGTCTTAATACTAGCTGTCTGCCTCTGCAAGCTGATTCCATCCCCTCACCCTCTTTACTGAGTCAACTCTTCTTTTCCAAGGCCATGAGTAATGCACAAACTTTTTTCTGATGGATAATTGAAAGCTCAGAGAAAGGCAACACTAATTCCCTCCCTATCTAGCCTAAAGTCTCTTGTCCCAAGAGTGAACTTTTACCCTGCACAATAATCCAGAACAATCTTTCTCAAGAAGGTCATGCAAGTACCAGACTGTCTCCAGAGACTCAGAACCCATCCTTCAGGTGGAAAGTGCCAAGAAAATAGCAATGACCCTGTTGCCACTTTCTGTGTGCATATGCATGTGCATATACTTGGTCATATATTGTACTCTCCTGAGTTTGGAAGAGGACCATCACCCCACCAGGCATCATGCCCAAGTCCACACAAACCACATCCACATACAACCCTGCAGGAATGAATTGGCTCAAGCAGGACTTCTGCAGGCTGTCGATGTGACACTCGCCCCTAACAGTGACAGTGCCTCTTGGAGCTGGCCTGTGTATGAACCCTGCAACAGGCACTACAGTGCGGCCCCATTTTCAGCCAATGGCACCGCACACACCTCCCATGCCATGGTTTTACTAGGACGTGAATGCCTTACAAATGAAAACTCTGAAGCTATTTTTGTTTGTGGCAAAAGAGTTTGATTCAGCAGTGGGGTAAGGCAGGGATGAAGGAGGGAGAGAGATTAAAACCAGGTAAACTCAAAAATGACAATCGAGAAAAATCCTGGCAAAGGAAACCACTTCTCTTGCTTTAAAAAATCAGCTGCACTGTTAAGCAGCTTCTATTTTGGAGGCAGAAGATCAAAAGGGGGAAGACCTCCCGTCGGTGGGTCGTGGGGTTTGATATCTCACCTGAGCACAGACACAAAGCTGCAAAAATGTCACACCACCAAGATCTGCCCTTCAGTGACCTCAAACAGTAGAGAGTCTCCAGAAACTAGAGCTGTTCTGGGGGACCATTTCACTCTCCCAGGGAATCTGTCCTGTGTCAGTGGAATTTTGTTAAACAGGTATGAAATGGGTAGGGGAACCAAGCTGGAGATCCTTGGGGGACAGGCCTGGGACACACAGATTGATCGACTTCTCTACAGTGCCACTCCTAGGATGGCCAGCGCAGTTTCCCGAACTCTTTTTCTCCAGCCTCAACAGCAAAAGGGAACAGCTGTTAATCCTTCTTCCTCTGGAATCTTGTAGCGTTCAAGAAGCAACACACAAAAAAGTATAAACACATCAACTCCTCTTGGTGGGCCAGTGTGTGTGTGTGTGTGTGTGTGTGTGTGTGTGTGTGTGTGTGTGTGTTCACATGGGGAAATGTACACATGCTTTGCATTAAATGTACGCTCAGGAATGTATGCCCCCTTTCCTGAGATAAACATTCAGGTTCCCTTGAAGTAACACTAAATAATGCATCGATTCAAGCATCACCTACATTCATGTATGACCACCCTGTAAAACCTGATTACCGATTGCACTGTGCCTATCGCCCGGTGAAAGTTCTGATCCTCCCTCAAATGCATGGAGACTCCTCTTTGCCTTGATATCAGGTCTGGAACCTCAGCCTGTTGCTGACTTGTCAAGGCTGCCCGGAAAGAAAGGAGAACATCGTGGGCTGAATCAAATGCCAGCACTAAGCAAGTGAAGGAATTTAGTTGATGCTAGGTAACTTCTCTGCCCACCCCCAGTGTAAACACCGTGTAAAGCAAGAGAGTCTTTGAAACCCCTTCCGCGGGGTTGCTCAGAACACTTAAGAGACCTTTCTTAGGTTGCATGGGGTGGAAGATGTGACAAGCAGGACCAGCTGGACCGGCCCCCAACCTCTGGCAGACGCGCCACAGGCTCGCTGGGCTGGAGAACTTTGCGAAGCGCCCCAAAAGGCTCCCAGCTCCCACTCTCAGCCATTTCTCTCCTCGGCTCACAAAGAGCAGGGACGGAGCAAACCGTCGCCACCTGCAGCCAGATCCCGGGGCGCTGCTTCTGGCACCCAGCAAGGGAAGGCAGGCCGATGAATGGCACGAGGGCAGAGGTTCACACCCCCACCCCCAAACCTCTCAGCGCCTAGGTGCCCAGAGGTGGCTCCACCGCGGAGGGAGCCGACGCCCCCAGGCCTGATCCCCCACGGCCCCGGCCCCACCCCCAATCCTTCCGGCGCCCCAGCGCCCACCCACCCGACCGCGGGAGTGGGAGGGTGCCGCGTGGGTAGCCGGAGCAACAGGCGTGGGAGCAGCGCTCCTCGCACTCGCTGGCTCCGGAAGGCTCGGTCGCTTCCCTCTTACCTTCGCCGAAGCCAGCCCCAGGCCCCGCGCCCCGCGCGCGCGAGGAAGCTGCGGCCGGGGGCCGCCGAGGCGCAGAGCGCCCAGCAGCGCGGGGAAGCGCCCAGCAGCCGCCGCTCGGGCGGCTCCTCCTCGCCGGCGAAGTCTCGCTCGTCCCTCCCTCACTCGGTCGGTTCGTGCGTCGGTCCGTCCGGGGGGCCGTCCCTCCCCCGCTGTCGCCGCCGCCACCACCGCTCCAGCCCCGGCTCGGCAGCGCGTCCCCTCCCCGCCGCTGCCGCTCCGCTCTCGGGCTCGTGAGCTCCGGTTCGCTCGTTCCCTGCCCCCGCCGCTGCCGCTGCCGCTGCCGCGCGGAGCGGAGCCGGGCCGGCCACGGGGCTGCCTCTCCCGAGGTCCCTCTCCCGAGGAGGCGGTGGGGGCGCGGCGCGGGCGGGGCGGAGAGGAGAGTCCGGGGGAGGTAGCGAGGCTGCGCCCTCCGCTCCCCGCCGATCCCCCGCGGGCCGAGCGGCCCCAGGCCCGGCCCGAGAGCGCAGAGCCGCCAGGCAGCGGAGGGAGCAGAGGAGGAGGACCCGGGAGCCTCGCCGCGGGAGGGTGCCCAGGGCGAGGGCGTGCGAGGGGGAGTGACTCTGCGCGAGGGTGTGTGTGTGTGTGTGTGTGTGTGTGTGTGTGTGTGTGTAGAGGGGCGCGCGCGTGAGTGGGGGGGTGTAGCGGGAGGGGGCGGGGAGACTAGGCAGAGCCTGGTGCGTCTCCCCAGGAGAGTGTAGGAATCCTAGGGTGTGCCTGGAGGTGGTGGTGGAGTGTGCCCACGCGGGTGTGAGCGCGTGTGCCGGGGAGGGTGGACATGGGGCGAGAGTGGCAAGGTGAGCTCGGCATGGGAGTGGGGGAGGAGCCGGGCGTGCAGCGTGATCCTGACTTTGGGGGCGTGTGTGGCTAGGGACTTGGGAAGAGGTGGCAGGGAGCGCCGGCGTGTGTGCGTGTGGGGTGTGTACACTTAACAGGGTGTCGGTTTCCCATTCACTGTCCACGCGGCAGAGCAACTCTTCTCCTTGATCACCTAGCGAGGCATGCAAGCTTCCAGGCTGTAGTGTCTGTCACCTGCATGTGCCGAAGCTGGATAGGTCTCAGAGGGGTCAAACTGCCTTTACCTTCATGTAAGAGTCACTGTCGTACAGGAGTGAGAGGTCATGCCCAGATAGTTAGTATTTGCTCCAATCCTCCACCACGGGTGTCCAGAATTAAGACTGAGGATTTGGGGATGTGAACTTTCGCTTCCCTATCTTTCCAGTGCGGGCCCAGGCCTTCGGACATTTCCAGAATCCCAAAGATCCCTATTGCTTAGTACTTCGACCCAGGATGGGGAATGAGAGATTGACGGGTGTCCAAGGGCCGTAGTGTCCAGTCAGGAATCTCATGGTCACCGAGATGGCACGTGTAGAGCGCAGCCCCAGCTGGTGAGCCAAATGGTCGCTGCCGGCTTTCCCTGTGTCTCCGCCTGGGTGTTGGGAATCCCGGGCCTGGAGATCGCAAAGCATGCAGCTTCGTTCCTCTGCAGGGACCGGAACGCTTTGGCTTTAGAGATCGCAGTTCTGAAGTGTGGAGAGGTGTATGCTGAGACACAAATGGATAGAAATTCGAAATGTGCGGTGAGGGTAAGGATGTACTTGGCAGGGCATGTCTTTAACTGTGGCTGGATAAAGACTTTCTGAGTCCAGAATAGGGTTTCTGGCTTGTGGCAAACTGAGCCCTCTCCAGAAGTACAAGGTGAGTAGTTTTTGAAGTCTCAGCTACTCTGGGCCTCTGATGGCTTGGAGCTTTTATAGGCTCACTTAGTCTAACCAAAGCTTCCTTAAGTAAGTCAGTCTGAAAGGTGCACAATTGGCCCTTCAAGAGGTGGGCGTGGACCCCATTAGCATTCCAGCAGTCCTAGAACCCTGTGGGATTTGCATACTAATTTGCATACGGTAATAATGATTAACAACACTGCCACTCCCTGGCCAACTCAGGAAGAAATCAGGGAAGGCCCTGGCAGGGATTCTCCCTCTCACCTCTCTTTAGGGAAGTTTTTGATGTTGGATTTTGCTTTGTTTTGTTTTTAATTAATTGTTTAAATAGTTGTAACCTCCGTTGCTGTGACCCCTGGGAGAAGATACCCTTTCTCTGAGTGGTCTGGTCCCAATAGGGACACTTTCCATCTCCTATTCAACTTGGGGCAGTAGAAATTCAAAATTTTATCTCTGCCTAGGTTAGGATTTCCTATACATTTTTGTTGTTGTTCTGCAGTGTGAAGGTAGTTCAGGGATCAAGTCTCCCAGACTAGCAGGGAACTAATAGTTGCCTGGGAACATCAGTAGACTCTTGGAGTGGTCTGTTAATGAGAGGACTTGTGGCCTCTGGGGCTTTGTGAGCCCTACTTGATGCCAGGACACCGTGCTCCACCCACTCCGATCCTGTATCTCAGATGCTCATTCCTGGGAGTCTAAGTGAAAAGTCTGTGAACTGCTCTCTTGTCTCCTAACTGAAGAAAAGTAAGGGAGACTTGAATTTCTAGTTCAGGCCAGTGTGGGTTTTGTTGACAGACATAAGGAAAATGGAACAAGGGAAAGGAGAAAGGAGGTACCTGGATTCAAGAGAAACATCGTCCAGGAGACACTGGGTACCCACCCTCCTCCATCCCTTCCTGAAATCTCTCCAGCCTTGGAGAGCTCCTTCCCCCCTCTGCCTCTGGCCCAGCCTGGCCGGGATTTTTCATTTGCTTTTCCCCCATGACACGGCCGCTTTTCCTTTAACTCTCGGCTTCTATTTAAAAAGCTAATTTGGGAGCTTGTCGATGCTCCCAATTCAGACATTTTAAATAGGAACTGAAAGTCAGGAGCTGCCAGGGCACTAGGTTCCTCCTCTCACCACCGGCATGGCACTGCTGAAGTGTTAGCTCAGTGACTCTGGCCCCTGTGTGTGTGTGTGTGTGTGTGTGTGTGTGTGTGTGTGTGTGTGTGTGCGCGCGTGTGTGTGTGCCCTGCAAGTACAGTGTGTATTTCAGATTATCTTTTCTATTTAAAGACAACGTTCCTATAGAAAACCCAGTGTGTGTGTGTGCGTGCATGCGTGCGTGCATCTGTGTCCTTCTCAAGCTGTGCACACAGGAGGATTCTTTACTAGTTCCAAGGCTCTGGCCGATATTTGCAGAACTTGTCACCGTGTGGACTGTGAGAGGAAGGAGCAGCACAGCTCAAAGTCGGCTTCCTCTTTGCTGACATACCAGGCTGTTGTTGTCCGTGCGTGCAGCGCTTTGTACTCAAGCTTGGTCTTTGAAGCTTGCCTGAGCTTCCTGAAGGGTCACTCTCACGCCTCTTTTTTGTGGCTGTCCTACTTCAGTTGTTTGTCCCATGCTGGGCCAGCACTTTGGAGTTGGGACTCTTCTGGGGCTTGCAAACTTTAGAGTGCCATGTGCCTTCAAGGGGGGAACCAGACTTTGAGGTCAGAATGATTAGGTTTGGACCTGCCTCTGCTGTTACCTAGCTGTGGGACCCTAGGGAACATGCTTAGCCTCTCTGTGCCTTTTTTTTTTTTCTCTATTCTAAAATGCCCAATGATAAAATTGTGGCACTTCAGTAACTATCATAGATAACATACTTAAAACAATGCACGAAATTTGGCCAGTTGGTGGTTGTTCAAAATAGGAAGTACAGAGAAATCTGTCTAGGGAAGAAGTTATAACTGCCAGATTGTGTGCATACATGCGGGTGCTCGTGTACATACATTAAGTCAATATGCACGTGACAATACAAAGTCAGGCCACAGCCAGCTATGTCAAATTCACCTCATTGGGAGCTGAGTCCCTAATCTCCATTAGAGAATAAAAGGAACAGAGGCAAAGTTGCAGGGACAGGGATGACAAAGAGGCTTGCCAGGCCCATGTCCTAGAGGCCAGTTTTATGCAGGAGGAGTGAGTTCCAAGACCTGTTTGTTCACAGGCTCCTGCCTCCCTGCTTTACCCATCCTTCTATCTCCACCTCTCCCAAGACGGGATGGTAAGCACACACCACTGCACTTGGATTTTGATGTGGGCATTAGAAATTAAATTCAGGTCCTCATGCTTGCGTGGCAAGCACTTTACTGACCGAGTTGTTCCCAGCTCCAGGTTTCTCCTCCTGCACATTTCCAGGATGGTTTATTACTCTTCCTTGGTTCTCTGTCTCCCCTTTTCCAGGGAGCAGTTATACAGACTTGTGGTTTAAGTTGATTCTCATGTTGAGGACCCTTTCCTGAGCTCTCTCTGGCTCCTAGCTACCAGCTCTCTCCATTCTTGACCACCTCATCGCTGCGACATCTCACTACCCTCTCTTGGACTGTCTCCATCATGTCATCTCTCCTACTTCCAACCCTAACTGACGTCTACTTACACTCTTCTTGGACCTTCTACTTACACTGCCTTTCTGATGGTGTCTTGTCCTATCACATCTGCAAGCCTTTGTACATGCTGTCCCATCTTCAGAAATGGGTCATCATTACTTTCTGTTTGTTCCCACATTGTGGGAAGATGTGAACAAGCATTTATTCAGTCCAGCTATGGGACTTATGACCAATCAAAGATTGATTCCACTCAAGTGTAGTTGGCAAACCAGTGAGTTTACTGGCATGGGTAACTCAAAGGAGCTGATTATCAGGAAGTCTAACCCAGCTTAGGTGACGACTCAGGTGCACTGCATCCCTGGAGTTCCTTGCCCAACTTGCAGCCAGCTCTACCAGACAGCTTCCTCTCCCAGCAATGTTTGTGACTCTCGAAAATTTCCTGAACCTCTAAGTTCATTAGCTTTCTTATTCTTATGAGTCTCTCTTTTCCTTCCAGGAGAGAATGTTGGTCTCAATTCTGAGGGAGTAGCTACAGAACACTCTTTTCATAGCAGACTTCCACTCTACCTCAAACCTTAAATACTCAGCACAAAGTTCACATACTAAGTTTTGGTGAAATCCTTCCTGTCTCCCAGATGAATTATTTCCCCCTTTGGGAGTTCTACAGTCCTTCCTGTATATCCCAAACACGGTTCTTTCTACATGTGTAGGTTTAGTTGTCTGCACATGTATGTCTATTTCTAGCCTTTGTATGGTGTAAGGCAAGGACTATGTTTCAGGCAACTGAATTCTGGCACTTGGGA